TTTTAAAAGTATATAAAAACATTTTTTTGTCGGAAAGTATTAATTTGCATGATAAAATGACATTTTTCCTATTTAACCAATGGTATGCTCAACGCTATCTGTTAGTCCTACAAAAAACCACCTCGTGTTTCAAGCTATATTATATCCGAAAAATGTTTACATAGACTTAAATATTAATTTTGTATCTATTTCTTCGAATAGTTATGACTCTTTTAATTATTATATCAGGTAACTGTATTGACTATATTATTCCTAGATATTTTGATAAATGTGGTTTTGGGATTGAAAAATTGTATCAAACAAAATTTAAAATTTTGACCTCCCGAATGCACCAACTAGATTCACTTTCAAGCTGGAAAAGATAATGAAGTGGAAAATCAAATCATTATTTCGGCTACTTATAAGTTATAACACGATAAAACAGATAGAAAAAATAATGACAGTAAAAAAGAACATACACAAACACACACCACTGTAAAATCAATACATTCATCTCTCCGCTCAGAGTCTAAAATGTAATGACATGACTTCTTTTAAAAATTAAAAATTAAAAACCACTGTGAACTTGTTCATTAAAAATTGGGTATCCACCGTTTTATTAAAACTGTACTGACTTTATTAGTAATACGTTATATCTAAGCTGACACTGGAGACAACAGATAACATTTTATTATTATTTTATTTAAATAATTATTAAATGACAAAATTCTGACAACCATATTTATTATACTTCTTCTTGTACTTTCACTTTTTACTTCATCCCAGTTTCTAGCTTATAACCGGGGATCAAGTAATATACTCCACTATTCTTACATGAACCAACTATAATTTATTAATAAAAGATCATTGTTTATTTTACACACAAACATAAATCACATAATAAAAAAAACTGCTATATATATAAATTGGTAGTTAAAAATTAATTAATAGGCATGAATTCTTCATATTAGAACTTTAGTACCTATACTGGATGCTATTATAAAATGTTTATTGTTGGTGACAATTTGTCAGGTTAATTTGAAGGTGATTAAAACAATTATTACAAGTACTCTATACGAGTATTTTAAATAAATGCAGTTTAGCTTCCAAGCGATTTTTTGAAATTTTTTTTTCAAAATATATTTTTGATGGCCCTTCCAAAAAAGTAGCTCAAACTTAATTTAAAAGTTATGAACAAAAACCTGAATTTTAAAAAAATCTTATTTTACAGTTTAAATTACCAACAGTTTAGATGTTTTGAATTTTTTCTTTTGGAAACTATCGTTTTTATATGCTCTACATTTTGGTGAAATCAGAATTTATGAATGAGGATTCCGTATGTTAGGTTGGACTGTGGGGCGGACGAGGTGACTAGGTGGTACTCATTCTTTAGCACATGTACGCACATGCAAAAGTCATCGTAGACACGCTCCAAAATATTTTTACACTTACGCAAGTACGTGACAATGAATAACGCCAATAAACTTGCGAAAAATCAACATACTTGTAGAAGTCCAATTTTAATTTTGAAAAAAGATTTGACTTTGTTAGCTTTTATTCTGTGTCTTGTAGGAGATCGATTTTAGATATTTTTAAAAGTTTAAGTACCATATTTTTCTATACACAAATTCATTTAATTTCTCAAAATTAATAAGTACCTAACCTGTAAAAGTGTAAAGGGGCAAAGAGTCAAAAAAATTCAAAAGTATTTATTAGTACTTAAAATTAAAATTGCTCTATACTAGAAATACCTATGTTTTTTTTCACCAGCTTATATGACTAAATACTTGAAAACTTCAATCGTTTATAGAGCCGCCTTATGAGGACGATTTTTTTATCTTCGTTTTACTAGTTTTTCAATTTATTACCGTGTTTTAAGTATATTATAATAGGTATAGCATAAATTAAAAATGCTCATAACTTACAAAAACTGAATTAATGTAAAAATCCAAAAAACCGATAATGTTCTTACCATCAAGTTTCATATTAGCTCGATTCACTTTAATTCTTAAACTAAAAAAATAAAACGCGTGTATAAATGTATTTATTATTTCGTAATTTATTAAGAATAAAAAAATTAAAAAATAACTTATGTTATATTTTTCATACAATATGTATATTGTAATAAAATATGAATGCCTCGGCTGGCCAATTGTTTTTATTAGATCATTTTTTTAATTACATTATAACTATATGTTTTAATTTATGTGTCCATAAATGTTACTGACACCCCTTTAAAAAAATCCCGAATGCTCCCCACTGTAGATATTATGTAAAATTTTTAGTATATGTTAACATTTAACTTTATAGTATTTACATTTACAATATATTAATTGCACATCATGTTAGTAATAATAATATGCTTAAACTTGAAAATAACGTTTGTATACCTGCATTGCCTTTGGCGATTTTTTAATGCAGTCACATTTGAAACAATCCAACAAATTAAGCAATTTCCAATTTAATTACAAACACGTTATTGAACAATTTCTATCATTATTCATTTTTAAATTAAAAACATTTTTTTTCGCATGACGAAATATTTTTATTTCGATTATATTGAGAAACGAATATTTTTTTATGAACAAAATAATACAATATTTTCTCTTGTACAAAACATAGGCTGAATATTCTTAAATCTCTGAAAAATGTTTTGGTATGCAATTTTTTTTCTACGAATACTGTACTGTATATAAATCATAAACATTTTTTCATCCCTATTTGAGCAGCATTAAGTCAATAAATATACGTAAAAAGTTAAAACTTAAAAATCTGATTCACTCGTTATTATATTAGTGAAATATAAATTTTAAAATACAATGATTATCTAATTAATAATAAACATTCAAATACTATGTTAAATCAATTGCCACAAACCTTAGATAGTATATGTACAATACTACAATAGTACAATAGTATACTACATATTATAATTATTAAATAATATTCTAATTACCTATTGTAATATGCCTTACTAAATACTACCACTAAAACCAACAAAAGTACTTACGACGAAGTTGAAAAAAACAAATAAAAATGTCCTGTTATGCGGGTGTATGTGTAGTGGAAGGTAGAACTAATAAAACTGGTCTGTAGCTCATTTACTTTGAACACACCAACAACGGCAACAAGTACCATCGCACTATGCATAATGAGTTGCCTATATAACCCCTTTTAAAATATGACAGACTTTAGAACCACCTTAATAATTAATTATACATTTGTATTGCTAATTATTATTTATTAGATACTCTTTTATATTTATAATTTTTTCAGCTAATATAATTTTAGGAGTAACTATTGTGCTAATTATGCTAATATTCTCTGGTTGTATTGAAGGATTTTTATTCATTTTTTATTGTACGATAAAAGTTGTTTGAGCCTTTCTCCTTTAAGTGTATTGTATCTTTGTATTCAATATTTTTGTAAACATAATAAAGTATTCCATAATTCCATCCATCAACACTTAACATTGACATTATAATTTCTTCTACAATAATGTATGTTGTCACTGCTGTTGTTGATAAATATTAATCTTTGATAAGCAAGGATACAAAATGTTGGCTTTCAGATAATGTAGTGCCTATTATTTCTTTTAATTAAACTATAATATGAGAAGCTTACATTAATTTTATATTCTTTGGTTAGTATAAATAAAAGCCAGAACATACCTAAATGGTTGCTTAATATGTTATATCAGCAGTTAAATATTGTCATATTGACATTCATTGTTGATCTTGATTATCAGTTATGTTTTGTAAAATATACATAGTTATTATTTATTTTTAATATCAAAAATCAGATTATAGTATTATGAATTGGTGAAACACCGTTCCCGGGGACCAAGAAATTCTGTCCAAAAATACCAGATATTTTAACCACTCAATGCAGGTTAAAATTATTCAGTGTATGACTAATATGATATTAAATAAAATTTCTTTTGAAGTTAAAGAATCTATACATTTTTTCTGTTATGGCCGATGATACTAACGACGTATCAAAAACTGAATAATTTTTTGTTATGGTAAGGTACTATTTTAAAGGAGAATTTAAAAAAAACGGTTTTAACATTTTACTCCATTGAAGGGATTTAGTTAGTAAATCTTTATTTCTACATGGTATCAAATCTATTTTATTCAAAAGTAAAATTGATATTAATAACTGTATTACCCAAACATACAATGGGGCAATAGAAGTCAGGCCAGAATCAAAGAGTAGGTGACATAAGCACAGGCCAAGGGAGGCACATTATTAGGTGGGCAGCATTTTCAAAAGTGATTTTATTATTTTTGAGGGTGGCAAAATTTGATTTTGCCTGGTAAACTATTTTCGTTTGAACTGGCCTTGAGCGCGATGCGTGGACATATAAATAGTGTACAGGCATTACTTAGAAAAGAAGTGCTCAGGGTTTGTACACAACACCGTGATAATCATGGACTTAATTTAGTTTTAATTGATGCAACTAAACATATTGAAGAAGTTGAAGTCTTCTCTCATATTCCACAGTAATTATGTTTTCATGTCTAGCAACCAAATAAAATATTTGCATGTTATAATGTGTGTTATTTCTTAATAACTATACTTGTTTGGTACTATTTATTATACTCCGTCTGATGTGATTTTAAAAACCAAGAATTAGCTTGTATAGCCAGTTTGAACATAAATAAAGAATTGATGTGTAATAGTTGACAAATGTAATTAAGTAACTAAATATGCAATAACTTTTATTCTAATCAATATTATTTCTTTAATACACAATTAAAAATGTATATATACCTAATTAATATCTAAAAGAAAAATTGTGCTTAAAAATATTGATAGGAATAAGTTATTATATTATTTTAATCCGAGATTTCGGATACATTGAGTAAGTCTCACAGTGATTGTTTTTGATTCAGTAAGATTATGATTTTTCTTCCAGTTATTTATAGTTGATATAGTAACAAATGGTCAAACACTCAAACAGATATATTTAGTTTACTGTACTGACCAGAAGACTCTATTACCATACAGCTTAACCAAAACTGTGATAGAATTGTAAGGCAGAGGACAATAGTCCTATCAAAACGCAAAGTATGCAAGCACTCGGGCACATAGAAACTCTGAATTATCAAAGCATATTTCTTTGAGTTTTTTCAAAGCAGCTTAAATAGTAAATATACTGAAATAAGAACAATGCTATAAAAATCGTGGAAAATACCTAATTTGGTACTATTGTATAATCAAATACTCAATCAACTCACATACACTGTGATAGTTACAAAAATAACCAATTGGTATAGGAACTAACTGTTGTTTTAATAAATATAATTTTAAAGAAAATGTGAAAATTAGGCAAAAAAAAATAATTAACAACTAAGAGACAACATTTCCAAAAATAAATAACGTAGAATTACAAATTTGTCTTACGTTGGTCTTTTATTAAGATTGCACTAAACTAATGCAAATACTAAAAGTCCTCTGCCCTAAATATAAGTGTTGGAATAATTATCAGATCAAATACTTCAAAACATAATGAAATACTTAGGAAAGGCATTATTAAATACTTAAAAAAAATTATCTATTAATTATATGATGGTCATATGTTTTAATGAAATTAATATAGGTCAATATTAATAAAAGTATAGCACAACAATTAAGTTTCTTTTGTTTTTATTTTTTTTTGTTTTTTAGATTTTGCAGTTTGTAGGCCACTTGTTTTATTTGCTTTTTCCAGTTTGAGCCTTCTTTCTCTTCTTTTTGCATTTTTACTTTTTACTAATGGTATACTTTCAGTATTTTTGTTTTTCATATTTTGAGATTTATTTATATCTTCAACAACTTCTTCCCTTTTGACATCTTCAGTATCTTCAATATTTTCCTCTTCTTCAGCAACTTCTTTCTCTTCGAAATCCCGACGAACAAATACAGCAATAAAAAATCCATTAGTACAATCAACACTTGGAACAGCATTGAGACACATTTCTGAACAATCGTAACCTGGAGCTCCTTTGTTGGTCCAGCCTTTCACTATTTTGGTAGCATCTAAAAGCTTAAATTTTCCATTAACAGATAAAGCTTCATCGACAACAGCTTCATTTTCTTCATGATTTGCAGAGCATGTGGAATAAACTAGTCGTTCTAATTTAGGATAGCTTTTTAATGCATGATTTAATAACTGAGCATGGACATTAGCTAATTTTTTCAATCTTGCTTGAAAATTTTGATTTTGCCCCGATGAATCTTTTCGAACTCTATCCACAATACCTGAAAATCATTATTAAATATTATGAAATATTAGGGATTTAATAAACTCTATAATTCAATAATCAAGATACTTAAAAAAACATAAATTAAACAAAATACATAGAAGTAGTTATTACAAACAAATATTATTTACCTGAACCAGAACATGATGGGTCCAATAATATGTATTTGACATCATCATAATAAGGAAAAGTTAATGCATCCATATTGAATGTTTCCACATTTTGTACACCATATTTTCCCAACATATTTTGCATTATATTGAATCTATCTTTACAGCGATCAACAGCATAGAGTTTACTATAAAACATTATTGTAGATATATTAGGCATTGGTATAATAAAATATAGAAGTAAATTATTGTTAAGTATAAAAATTATTATTGAACTACTTGTATTAGAATGGTTTAAAACTAATAATGAAATACAACATAGCATTTATAACTGATAAGTATTCATGCTAAATATTTTTTTTTTCAATTGTCAGCTCAAAACAAATTATGGGCATATCTTTACAAAACTTAAAAATTAACTTTATAGATAACTACCTACTAGGGTATTAAAAATTTTAAGTTCAGCAATGATTAATATCATAATTATAAACAAATTAAATAGCATACAATTAATAGCGAAGGAATCTAACCGCTGGTGCTATTAGTAAAAAAAAATACAATTTACAATTTATATGTAATTGTATGTTGCACAATGTGTATAAACTAACAAACTCACCCTGTATTTTGCATAATAGCAGCTAAATGAGATGTCTTCATACCAGGAGCGGCACACATATCCAACACAGTACTATTTGATTCTGGTTTTAATAAGTAAGCAGCCAAACAGCTTGCCTGAAAACAACAATTCTTATTAAGCAACTAATACATTTTAAAATATAGGACAATATAAACAATAAAACAATTGAAATTCATGAGTTTATTTACATTTACACATTATAAGCATATGAACAGGGGATAATGGATATACCATACAGAGCCAATTCTCAAGAGAAAATTATACACACGTATGTTGTGTCCGTCTAACTCAAGCATAATACACCAAAATGTGCTTCCAGCAGTTGCAATTTCTTGTTGTTGGCTTAAATATTAGAGTGAATTGACCCCTTTTATCAAATTCAAATGTATGAACATTATCTGTGTTCTCGCATTGATTTTTAAATGAATTATGATCATTATTTAATATTAATTCTTAACATACTCATAATTCACTAAAAAAATTAAAAAAATTTTTAATCTTGCATTTAAGTTCGATAATAGGTAAATTCACTCTAATATTTAAGTTAACAACACAAAATTTGAACTGTTGGGGCGTACATTTCGGTATATTATGTGTTATTATTTAGTAATATGAGAACAAATACATGTACAATCATTTCACATGTTGAATGATGTTTTAATTTATCCATTCGTATTATGTGCGGTTGCTTGAAAATATAAAGTTTACCTTATCTTGGACGATTAAAGATCCATTATTGTACTCTTCAATTTCATAAAACTTCACATTTGAATTGAAAACTAATAATTCTTTAATGTGAACATCTTGAACAAAAACCTTTTTTCCTTTGAACTCGTCGGATTTGATTAATTCCAAAAATTCAGCATAAGATTTTGGCGATTTTAGTTTAATAAATTTAAGTTCTGATAATTTTTCTAATATTTTTTCTAGTGTAGTTAATAATGTGTTAATACGGAAAAACCTAGGTTTCAAACCTGAAAAATATAATTATATTAAAGCTTTAAAAAATTATTAAGTACATTACAGAAACACTAAGTAGAAAAATATTTTTTTAAGAAGACGCCATACCTACAAAGGGGTTTTACTAGGTCTCTGTTCTAATAACCTATAACATAGTAAATTTGCATTCAGTAAACCAATTTTGTGTTTTTAGCTTTAAATTAGTCAATTGAATCACTTTAAAAGTTAAATGTAAGAATGTTATAAATAGCACCTAGGGATTTTATTTTTTAAGTGAGTTATGAGCATTTTAAACTTGTAATATTTTATGTTGGTATAAATCCCTTAAAAATTAAAATGTCAATAAAATCCTACAAAATGACCAAGATAATACTAGATCAATTCACTCTAATACTAAAGCGAACAACACAAAATTAGTTCTGTTTAGCAAAAATTTGATGTGTATGATGATGGGTATGGCATTCTCTTACTACTTAAGTAAAAAATAAATAGTTAACTTTTTAACTATATAACGTAACAAATATTATAACTTATAAGTTTATACCTAGGAAAATGTAATAAATAATATAATTTAAAAAGTGTACCTTTAGTATAAGTGGCAGTAGATAGTTTTTCTAAATCATTTTCTTTTATAAGATTTGAAAATTCAGCCTTATATTTTTTTACAGCTAATATATTTTTAGCAGTGCCTTTTAAACCAAATTTTGACCACATCATTTCAGTGATAAAGACATACACTAAATCCCGGTCCATATTATTTTCTTTTTCCAATATATTACTTTTTTCTACTAACACATCTATCACCTTTTCCCATTTAAAAACATTCATCAGAACAGCATTCAATGATAATTTATTCTGAAAAAAAATAGATTGTTATAAGATGTATGAGCATAGGAGGAATAAAAAATAAAATAATTGAATTTGTATAATTAATAATATCAATCACTAAATTGAAAACAAAACTTCAATATACACAGGTCTACAAAGTTATATTTGTGGTAGACCAGTATATATTTAAATGAATTTTTATCCTTTAAAGAATCCTGGAGAACAATAAGTACTGTGCAAGCTACCAGGATATTGCTCATTAAATCGTATACAATATTATCAACTGAACTAATATATTATGAATTATAATTATCATACATATATCAAATATTAATAAATTGACTGTATTTTAAACATTAATTTATTTAATTTAGGCTGCAGTAATAAAATACAATTTATTGCAGTATATCTTGTTATTTTTTTTTTTTTTTAAATTTATAATGTTTTTTTTTTAGTCTAAAACATAGATAATGACATTTTTGAGGAATACCAATGACCTCCGATAGGAAAAAAAATAGAATATAAGTTAAAGAATAATTAAATACAAAACAGTTGTATTATTTACAACAGCGGGTCCGCTAGAAGATTAAGTACATTTAAATAAGTCAAGCTCAACATTAGCAATAAAGTTTTGAGAATTAAAATAAGTACATACAAAAATTTCAATAACTCAAATACATTTGAATTAATTTCACTGTACTACACATTCCATGTCTTGTTTCTTGTTCATATTTTAAACTAAAGAGTATTGAATACCTAGTACATTAGAGTGATCTAGTTTAATATTAATTTACTTTGTTGCGGGCCTCGGAATCTCCACATATAATATAATATAGAATACATTTTATACCTCTCACAATGTATAAGTTGTTAACTCGAAATTGAGGTCCTTACGAAAATAGCGTACAAATATATTAACTTTTCACAATGTATAGATCGTTATTAAGAATTAGAGGATGTTCCAGGTAGAAAATTTGTTACTGGCCAAGTAAAGTTTTTAATATTAACCGGGTATCGAGTATTGGCAGAGTAAAATGCATAATACTAACCGGTTATCGAGTATTGGCAGAGTAAAAATTTAAGTACTAACTGGGTATCTATAAAAAAACAACGAATGTACCAATAGTGGTTGACCTCTCATAATGCAATAATATTTGGATCTTCTCGGACATAATAGCCAGGTACACAACCTAGAAATCGTGTAAAATAGTAGTTCTCCTAGAAATTAGCAACAACAACCAAAAACAAGACCATACCAGCATTTGAGCCGCTACGTCAAAGGAACCGACACCACATATAAAGGAGTCCGGAGAGTAGCCTAATCAGATGTATCATGGGCACAAAAATCAGAGTAACTTCTCATCACGCACACACACGCTATTGTACACACACTATAATTTCTGCTAATAAAAAACTATTCATTGATCCACTAGGAAATTGTCTGCATTTTGTCACAAAAGCTTACGACTTTTGAACATTTGATATTATGACTAAAACAACTTTCCTAAACTAATGTTTAAGTTAATAAGATCTTACTGGATACTGTGCTTGATAAAGCTGAGTTTTATAACTGCTACCGGATTTGACTTTTTTTAATATTTTTGCAGCAATTTTATAGAGTCCAGTGGTTTTATCATGGTTTCTATCCATTTTTTTGACGGGTTTTCCAGTAACCATCTATTAACACAGTTACAATAAGTTTTAATTAAGATATTAATTAGTAATTACTTTATTCGAACGCCTAATACTTACATTTAAAAAATTTTGACGGTAAGCGACCGTACACGAAACGACAAACAATCAAGTTCTCAAAGATTCGCTAAAACCGTTGAATTAAATATCTTGTAAAACACGTTTACAAATAATTTTCAAGCCAACGAAAATGACACAAAATAATAATTAAACACAAACGCCACAAACAAGACAAATGAAAAACAATGTGTACGACCCGCGCACGTGCTTTACTCGATAGTCGATATCTACTTAAATAATATTGTTATATCAGTGTTTAGTGTTTACACTTCTTAACCTTTATCAGTTATCATAATCCAAGATTATAGTATCACAAAATAAATGAAATAAATAATGAATAAATTCTGTGATGATAATATCGATACGAATATGCGAGATGCGAGAATGCGAGATACGGGAATCCTAGAACGCGAAGAACGACATTGACTGATAACAAATTGTACAGACAATTTTACAATTATTCTCAACTCACAAAACAAAATATTTCACAGTAAACAGTATACACAATACAAATAATAATATTCGAGTTCAAAGTTGTCTATTGACTTAATATTATTCATGTTATTATTAATAAACTAGTAAATCATGTTATTACTCATTACTAGTGATAATATTTACTCTGTTGTCTGTGGTGTTAAAATTTGGTCCAACAAAGAATGTCTCTAGTAATCACTAATCGAGATGTTAAGAACAATTTTTAATAATGTTTGTGTCAACTATTGAAAACTCAACATATGTAATGCTTCAGTGATCTCGATACTGAATGCTTAGGCAATGTTACACGGTTGTATATTGTATTATTTATTTAAATTTTATCATTGAATTAGATACTCTAAGTATAGCATTCATAATAAAAAAAAGATTGGGTGTTTATAGGTACATTTTGTGATGCCCATAATATTGAATAATAATGTAATAATTTAGGTATGCTTAAAAATACTTGAGTGTATAATTATATAAGTAGGTTCCTAGTTCAAAAGAAATTTGATGAAAAAAACTGATAGTATGTCTGTAGTAATGTAGTGATTTACTAGGGTTAACATCTATTCATGTAATACCATTCATAATAGCAATTAATAATCATTATATTTTATAAACAATTTTGAACAGAGAATAAAATTCAGCAATCTAATTTTTACTCACTCTTTTTCATGCAAAATAAAATATGTACAGGGAAATTCAAAAAAACTAATTTAAAAACTGTGAATAGTATCTAATCCACAATAAACCTGTTTTAAACTATAGTTTCTTCAATTATCAGCATAGAAACAGTTTTTTAAAAAAATAAAGTTTCTTAAATGCTTAACTATTACCAACAAATTTACATACATAAAATAATTTCTATGTAAAATTATTTGTGCTGTACTGCCCACAATTTATGTACTGGGCTCACAATTATACTTAAATTTATAATTTGTATATCTATGCATTTATTGCAATGTACTGATGGCACTGGTTTTATGTCAAAAAGACATTGAGTTCATAATAAAAGTTAATTAGTAAGTAAGAAAATACTTTTCAACAATACCCCATTTTGTTATAAAATATAATTTACAATATTTATGAAAGGAACAAGGAAATGCACCAACAATGACTGCTGATGAATTTATGAAATTTATCATCATACTTCATGTACAGTTAAATATAATATGTAGACAAATAAAATTATAACAATCCATTCAGTGATAAAAAAAAATAATTATTTATTTAAAAAAGTGAAAAATTACATAATAAAAACAAAAAATAACCAAACAACATGTTTTCAAATAAAAAGTAAAGAAAAAAAAACGTGCAAGCTTCACATTTATAATTAGCAAAATTACATCAAAGTCAGTTAATAACGAACCACAACAAACAGACATTAAAGTTCGTCATGTAATTTAGGACTATAACCGTGTTTAACTTTTTTTACATGTGTAGCGGCTTCATCCACTAGACTTAAGAATTCATCTTTATCAAATGAATAGTTGGTAAACTTGGCATGTGCACCCTGATCTGGATGTTGGCCCTACAACACAAAAATATTCAATTCTATTATTAAATTAAATTTTTATATTATTAATAATTATAAAAGTCCAAATTTATATGACTTATACATATTTTTTTTTTTGGAGGGGGAGTGCATTTTAATGAGAGTCGAAGAATGTCAACACGATTTGTTCAATAAATATTTTGTAGAAGATTGAAAATACTCTAAAAAGTTTTCTTTTTATGAATCAATTTTTTATATTATACTCTGTCTTAAAAGATAATAATCAGTCGGCCGACTGATTTACGTCTGTGCTGCACATTTCCCAACTTCCCAGTGTTAGCGTGATCTCACAGTTTTCAACAAGACAATCAAATCATTAGCGAAGTGCAAAAAGTGAGAATGGACCTTGTCATTACTTAATATTATGTCCTACTTAAGCACAAAAAATAATACAAAAGTGAACAAAACAGCTAATATTTTATCGCATTGGATGTGATTCTAAATAGAAATCGTTTATATTTGTCGTATTAACATGGCTTTGGTACTAAAACGTATGTGTCAAATTTCCAATTTAATGATAAGTATATCATTGCATACAAAAAGTTCTAATACTAAGTTTATAATATTTATCAAAGAAACGATACTCAATATTTTTACTAATTTCTTAAAAAAAAATTACAAGCATACTAATATGCATACTAGATGTATATTAAACTTAAGATTTGATGATACATAAATGCATATTTTAAAGCTATTAATGCAACAAATCTGGACTTGAGTTATTACATAAAATGTTAAAATTATAGCCTACATTTTTTTTCTACAAATCATTACTTTTTGAAATATTAATTGCTTACTTTATTTTGAATAGTAAACTTATTTATATCTCTCCATGTTATGTACTTAACACCTCTCAAGCGAGCCAAGTCTTTGTAACAATGTTCATCTTCACAATTATATCTGTTAATGAAAATGTATAATAATTAATAATTTGTACTAATGAATATCTACATTAATTTTAAATTTATAATTTATTGACAATAAATATAAATTTCTATAAGTAAAAATCATACTCACAGTTCAAATAACACTGCCCATTCGGGTAAAAATAAAAGATGTGTTAACCCAGCGCCGTGCATTCCAATAAATATATCAGTGTTATAAGTTATGTGTACTTGTTCTTTAAAAGATAAGAAGTTGCCACTATAAACAACCTAAAACCATTTTGATTAGTCCATTAACTATGTAATGCATTTGTTAGTCAAAAATACCTTTTTTACTTCATACTGAGAATGATTTTTTAAAGCCGTTATTAATTCATTCTCATTCAATACATTTCTATATTTTGTGTTTCTAGATAAAAATGTTATCCTTATTTTTTCATTGCCATTTGGGTCTTGATAAATGTTCAAGCGATGTAACACATGTTGGGAAAATGCTTTAAACAATCCACTGTTTTCACATCCATCAATCTGAAGCCAAAAAAACCTTACACTTAATATGTATATAATTACAAATAAATGCCATTCTTTAATTTTATTTACTAACTTATATATAATAATATTTCCACTACAGATAATAAACGTTTAAAGATAAAATAATTTATAGTTACCAAAGGAGTATTGTAATACAGCCCAAATATCATTCTTGGTAGTAAAGGTAAGACAATATCATTAAAACAAACAACTTTTCCTCTGAAAGTATTTAAATTCCATATAGGATGTTTTGTAAATGCTTGAAAGGTATCACTAAATGCAGATTCATAGGCAAATGACTCCCAAACTAATATGTGTATGTCTTTTGAAAACATACTAGCTCCTGAACCATTCACATGCTGAGACGCATATAAATTCAAAAAATCACAAAAGTGATGGTACATATTCACAGCTAATAAAATAAAGGTTACAAAACGCCATTAAACACATACTATACTAATAAAGCAAAATTATAAATAACAAGTATTACAATTGAAAATATTTACTTGCGTCTATTTTCATAATGATTGTAGGTTTAGTTATGATTAAATCACATTTTCCAGGATAATCAGTGATTTGTGTAAAAAATCTTAATTCGGGACTCCAAGACTGTAATGGACTCAGATGATCACACTGAGCATCCAATTTATCTTTATGAAACCTATATGTGAGTTACCTATGATGTTAATTATTATTTTCTGGTATACTTCTGTTAAAAGAAAAATATTTTCAAATGTGTAAAAGATTCTTTGATTTGATTTATAAAAACACAATCCATTGATTTATTTTATTAAACATTAATAAAAAAATTTAATTTATCTTTTTTTTTCCTAACTAATTTTTAAATTACAATCATGCATACTTGCATTTTCCACCAATTTGACCACTACTTAGTACATCCATTTGATATCGTATTGGGTGGTTTTTGTTCAATATATTTTCAAAATTTATCATAATATTATGTCCACGACAAAACTTCAAATGGTTAGTGCATTCCAATGATGAATCGTCCTAAAGGTATAATTAAAATATTTACATTTATATCATTGTATCAACATATAATGTAAACATAATATGAACATATTGTTATCAACCACAATTTATTATAATTTAAAAAATATAAATCTCGTATTTCTACACTTTGAAACCTGACTAATATTTTTATCATTACAATTTTACAATATTATGCTGTACCTACCTATTATTAAAAATATAAGTTGCTTTTATTAATTCAAAATTTAAATATTTTGAACCTACCAATTCAACCCTTTTTTCTCTATTATAAACAGATAACTCTACAAAATGGCTATTTTTGATATTTAAAAAAAAAAAGAAAAAAAAATTTTAAGCTTTCTTTGAATTTTTTTTAGACTGGTAAAAAGGAGGTTATTAGTCATATAATAAATTTAAAAAGAAGAAGAATATTTGTACTATATATTTAATTAAAAAGTGACTTAATTAGATAGGCACTGACTTCCCAATTAATTAACATCCTGTAGGTATCTTAGTATTATATTATTACCCACATTTATTTAAATTTTGTATCTACTTAATCATCAAAAAGTATATATTTTTACCAAAACAATTGTAGAACTTTTAAGTTGTATATTATCAGGGTATACCTATATACATTATTTTATTTATATTAACTTAAATACATTTAACATAAATGAATTTTTTCTTATAATACCATTTTTTTTTTTTTTATAAAGGGGAATATTGTAAATTAATGTGCTATGGCCCTAATAATTAATAATTAGCCAGACCGACACTGGCAGTAGTAATTAAAGTTGGTTTAAACGTGTACACATGATGTATAAAACTGTATTAAAGATGTAAGTCAGTGACTCCAGTGTAATGAAAAATTACTTTATTTATTGGCTCACACATGTGTGTGATTTCTTCTCGTTGTTGTTTCACATAGCCAAAATCTCCTTGTTCGTAGAATGTGTCAATTTGATCCTGTTTGGTCGGTGCCCAACTGGTTTCAGTACCTGGACACGTGGGGTCCAAATAGCGGTGCTCTATATCACAGTCATTTTCGTAGCCCCAACAGAGCTAAAAATTGAGTATGTTTGAGCATTGAGCAACCATGTAATCAAGTATTTGATTATTTTAAAATTTTAACCATCGTCGTCACATACCGTTTTATTGTTATTGGTTCTTGAGTTCAGTATGTATGGTAAGTGTTCTGGATGGACGTTTAAGTCCATCGGTACCGTACTCGGCCGAACGACGTGGTTCGACAGAACGAAACACGGTATGGCTATGATCTTGAGGTACAACATGACGACTGCGCATTAAACAGGATCGACGATACCTAAACTATACATTAGGTGTCATCATCGTCGTGGCAGAGTCGTGTGTAATAAAATTATTAGTCACGACGGGGTAGGCGGTAGTCCATTGCCAAGTCGTTGGCGGACAACGCGATTCGGAAATCGGTTATAGTAAATACTAAATAATCACGGCCGTCGGGCAGGCGGCAGCGCAATGTTTACTAGTTCAAACGTACAAACCGTTTGATCGGAGTAGGGGTTCTCAAAATGATACCGTTATCGTTGCGGTAGAGTAGAACCTGTGGTGGAAGTGCGTAACTGACGGACGTACTATAGTACGATACTACAACACTCAACAGGTACCTAACGGCTACCAATACAGTGAAGTGTATTTTATTATTAAATTAAATGCTACCTTCATGGCTTCATTATTAGCTAATTTAACTATAGCAACGCTCAAATATATGTACCTACAATATTTGAAACCATGGATAGGTGTTAGGTACACAATACACAAACAAATAATTGAATAAATAGGTTCCTAAATGTAAAATAAAACTTATGCGCATAAACATTTATGTAATAACTATATTGTGTTGGCGCATCCTCTTAGATAAGTCGGTAACGAAGGGGACAACCTAATAATGTAGGTACCTACTTATACCTTTAAAAAAAAAAATAAGCCATCCACAGTGTAAACGAATATTTATTAATATTTTGGTTTGACTACGTAAAATATTAGTTTCAAAAATCTCATAACTAGCCTTAAAATTAAAATACCATAAAAATAAACCCATGTGAAAATGCATAGATAGGTACCTAATGTTCTTACTTTTGATGCTTTTATTTTCGGCCAATTCGCACTCATAAAAGGTTGAGTACTACATAAAATTGGAACTGCTAAAAACTTGATAGATAATTGGCTTACTATGTTGTACGTTTGTGAGACGAAGACAACGCTGATCACATTAAGCCATACGTTTTATTCACATTACGGCGGAACGGAGGCAAAGCTCTTTATTCAATAGTTCGTACTCCGAACTTTAGTTATTATGTGCATGGGTTAGGTAAGGTAGGTAAATAATTCTTAAGTTATAATTATTTAAAATATAAATATATGATAGGTAGCCAGTTGTAAAAAGATCGGAAATCGGAACCTAGCTCATGGTTGGTAGGTACTAGATATCTATGAGTTAAATACTTATAGATATGCTTCGATTAATATAACTATATAAGTAGGTGGTATCTACTAGGTACCTAGTTACTAATTACCTATTAATTGTTACTTATTAGTATTAGTTGATAGTTACAGATAAAATGTAAAGGTTAAACACTCTCCCTTTAGGCTCTTTCTGCACGACTGCACATAATGAAAAATACTAAAATATATAAAAGGTACCCACCTTTTTTATTTCCACAATTATTTTGAACGTCTTATTGTATCATATCATTATGATTACAGTAATAACAATAATTGTCCATGACAATTTGACATGAGCATTAGCTATGCCGCACAATCACTCTACTGAATAGGTACTAACTACATATAACATTGTTATATTTTAAAAGTAACAGCATAGGCGTGGCCAGACTTTTATAGCAGGTGTTTCTAAGGCCGGGAATGTTCAAAAATAATTATTGAATTAATTGTAGAATAGAGCAGTGTTAAGAACATCTGAAACAACACTATAGACGAGCAGGGCACTGAAGAGTAAAATGCAGGTGTTGCTACAGAAACAGAATACACATAGCAAAGACCTTAACCCTTAAACATGCACATGAGTAATAGTATAGGTACCAACATGACTACATATTATTATATTAAACATGGTGGTTCACCAAGCATGATTACCTTCATTTTGTTCACTAATAACTTTTCACAGAATTTTTTTAAATATACTTAAAAGTTAAAGGTTATATTTTCAAATTCAAGATTTCTTATACTATTTAAGGAGTATCCTTTGGCAATAACGGCAGCTTCTTTTTTTCAGATCAGAAATACACCTTTATCCTCTTTAAATTATTAATTATTTGACTTTTTGAGAATTTTTGATGTACCTATCTAAATCAAAATTCAAATGAGTACCTAGTTTTTGAGTTATTTAACTTTGTGTAAGTACCTACCTTCATGGGCACCCATAGGTAACATTTTAGGGGGGGGGGGGTCAAAATAAAAAATTTCGGCAATAAGGTAATATTGTGTTAATATTTATTGAGTTACAAATTCATAATATTTTTTTCCAGGGGGGGGGGCAAGTGCCCTGTCTTGACAGAGCACTTCCCCCCCCCCCAATGGGCGCCCATGCCTACCTTCTATTATACGATTTGTAATTTGTAAAATTATAGTAAATTATAACGAATATTATGTTACTTCTTAATGTTTTTGTGAAACCATTTTTAAAGGCTAAATGCTATATTCTTAAAAAATATAAATATAAAATATTTAAAAACTCAGAAATAACTCCTCAAATGTTGATATCAATACCTATATACTTACACAAGAAATGTTCAAAAAAAAATCATCCGCTTAATAATTGACAGTTTAAGCGGTTAGTGCTCATTTGAAAAGAAGAAGTTAGTATCGCCCCAGGAAACTCCTTAAATGGTATAAAAATTGAAATAATTGTAAATATGGTGAATCACCTTGTAAAGTGCACACCCATCTATTATTTAAAATAAAAATATTAGTTGGACAAATTTAAACGCTAGGTTTGTTTATTTTTCAGTATTAATATATTACTTTATACCCACACAAATATCACAATTTACAAGTATTTATATAAGTGTAAACCGAAAAGGAACTTCTGTTGGTAACTAAACCAGCTCGGCTTTTTTGAAAGAGCCAAGAGGGGATATGAATTTTTGGCTAATCTTAGACCACGTTACATGTATACACACATTCATTATAAGGTATTCATACAAAGTAAAATAAGTTGTTAATAACTATAATAGCTAATAACCAACACATTATAATAACTAATATACCCACAGCCTACTTCTATGTATAAAGGTATTAGAATATTAGGTACCTCTACATATTAAACATAGAAGTACAACGAACAGCGATAATAACTGCTCATTTTACATTTTTATTACTTACAACTTACATGTACCAATACTTTTTAGTTATACCTATCATATATGCCCATTGTGTAATAAATCCTAATATGATATAAAGTGTGTATTTGTGAATGTTTAACTATTATACAATGTCAAGACGACAACCAATTTCAATATTTCACCAATAATCGTTTATTACTTTTATATTACATATACATAATATAGCTTACAACGAGCGAACTAACATACGAACGGATATTATACCTACACAACACTATAATACGCATTATTTATTTATTTTTCCAAATTATATGGTATAAACTATACACATAGGTACAATATAATAGAAGATACCCACTTTATATAATATAATACTATACTCTATAATAGTTATTATTCGAACGTCAAATCGTGCGTTTGTTGCATTAAGCTCTCCTTTGTCTATAGTCTCTATAACTTTGCATAGGTAGGTGTAATGGATTTCGCATAATATTACAAACGCGACTAATACTTGTATGTAGGTTTATATTATTATAGTGTACGTATACTACTATGCTAGTATCTACCTATATTTTATTATGCTATAAATAAATAACAGACAACGGTTGACGAAATTATTTAGATTAAACGGTATAGGTACGCAGAACGTGGGTGGCGTGTGTAAAAACTAAAAAAATATTTGAAGGCCATCACTATTTTTTAGTCTTATTATCAATCATAAACCTATCATATTATCATAATATTATTGTAAGTCCTGTACTCGGCGCCTATGTAGGTACTTACAATAGGCAATAGCGCAATATTCCGCTGTTGAGTATTTCGTTATGATATACGTAATATATGAGTATTAGCGCATTAGATATAGGTATTATACAGACGTGGGTAGGTACCTACATAAGTTATTATTTACTATCATAATTCTCTACGTGTCACATGTGTGCCTAATGCCTATTAAGACAGGCTTATATAACGTTAATTGTTATAATAAATGTCTTATAATATAGTCTTATATATAGCTATAAAAGTCGCGAAAAATGTATTCAAATATTATATGAAGTATAAACTATGTATATCTGTAAATATATAACCTTTTCGATTTATGAAAACTTTAGTCAAAATATAAATACCTCCTTATTTATAAATACTTTTTTATTTTAATTATTTAAATTGTAGAAGTAGGTATGTAAAAATAATAATTTTGCATTTAGTAGGTAATTACTATAATTACCTTTTTAAAATTGTGATATCACATTTAAGTATCATTAGAATTTATAACTTTGAACTACCTGCATAATTGTGTAGTCATTTATACTGAAAATAAAAAAATAAAAAAATGTGTTGTATTGTAATTCTGGAATACTTTATCCAATATTAATTAAACATTAAATGGTTGTTAAAGAAGTATAAAATAATAAAATAAATGAATACCTGTTCAAAAAAATGTTTAATAATATGATTTTGATTATAAATAAAATACTAATGAAATGAAATACTAATGATTATCAAAAAACAATCAAAAGTGTGACGAAAAATTCTTTTGAATTTTTAAAGTTAAGCGTGTAGGTACACACCTATGTACATACCTAAGAGTATTGTATTTTCAAATACAAATATTTAATATAAAAAGTACTCTATTACCCTAAATACTACAAAAGTTGAGACGAGCACAAACTATAAAAATACTGGAAGTCATTTATTTGTCGTTGGCGGAAACCACCGCACTACCGCGGGGGGGGGGGGGGGGCTGTAGGACGTAATAAACTGGGGACCGGGTATTTTAGGGGCTTGTTGAAATATTGATATTTAAAATGTTTGAAATGTTGATTGGAATACTTAGGTATTTTATATAAAATAATATTTCATGATATGAATGTATGTTATAATATATTAAGTAGACATCGAGTATGGGACACTCGTATTGCTTGTAATGGATTGTATTTTTTTGAAAGTTATGTATAGGGATAACAAAAACATTTAGTACAGGGGTCCAAAATTCGATGTTGGTAGACCTGATCATTGATGACACTTTCTTATTTTATAGGTGCCTATGCATAATGTATTTTTTAGTCTCGTAAAAAATCACGTCGTGACTTCTGCTCCAGATGTCTCACTTGGACTTAGGATTTAGAAGACTACTTACAAGTACTAAATATTGTAAAAAATTCTAGAGTTTGCATCAGACAATTTGTATGATTTTAATACGATCAAGAAATCTTTTATAAAAGCATTTGACTCCTTAGTTTATCAAATGTATTCAAACCTGTATGTAAAGTATAATATTAGAAGTAAAGGCCAAAGGGTCATTAATTTCAAAGATCAATGTTTTGAAAAGTTAATATTTTATTAAGTTCGATAATTTTGAATTAGGTGAGTTCCCCGTACTTACATTTTTCAAACAATCAAATACATTTTAAAAATCATCACCCTGTTTTCAGCGTAACCGACCGCCATTGTGTACTTTAAATACTTAATAATAATTAATAAAAATCAGAAGAAAACCACAAAACACGAATTGAAAATATTGAATATTATCTATATCTATTTTAGTGCCATCACTGGATAGCATCTTCGATCTCATTTTTTTTTTTTGTTATTTATGTAACATATTTTATTATTGTAGCCTAGGACGCAGATTGTATATTTCTAATAATATTAATAAAAAAAGAAATTACATCTGCATATCTTACATAGTTAACAATAAAATAATCATAATACATTTTTTTAAATGGGTACATGCCGCAACTGAACCTAAAAATTAAAAAGAAAACAAATTCATGTTAACCTTCATAATTGCAGGTTTTTTTTGTGAGAACAATCCAACAATAGGTACATTTTTACATCACAATCATCAATCAGTCATCGTTTATACTGAAATATATTAGTCTATACTCTATAGGTATTACACATTTATGCGGTATAGGTTAATTTTTTTTTTAATGAACTGAGATGGGGGGACTGAGCTACTTTTGCATTACTTGGACCTAATGTATAGGTACCTACAATTTTATCTTTGAAGTCCAAACGATTTTGTATATATACTTTAAAAATAGGTATTTTGTCATTTTTAAAATATATTTTCCTACATTATCAACACACCGCGTACCGTCGGTATTTAGAACCAATACATAAGAGCAATGGTTGCTAATGACGCACATTTAATTAAATATTTAAATGTCAAAAAAAATCATATGTAGGTACCTACGAGACGTCAAAATATGTTAAATTTCTGTATATATTATAATATAACTTGAATAATTAAAAATAAATAAATATATAAAATAATTAAAACATAAATAAATATATATATATATATGTAATAACCTATATGCAGTTACCTACTTTTGGTTTTTGCATTATCTAAATTTAGACGAAAAATAATTAATATTTACTATTTGGTTAAGACGTTCGACTCTAAGGCATCATATATACGGTGTACATTTTTTAATTGATTCAAGATAGTGCAAATATTTATT